GCCTTTTCCTTCCACCTTATCTGACTTCAACCTCACATCACGTGCTAGGGTGCTCTGTGCTCTCATCACATCATCAAAAGCAGTTACCAGGACAGGCACTGGTCTACATGGAATTTTGAGGAGAGTCTGATAACCCCACCCTCCTGTGCCCATATAGATGCTTAGCCTAAAAGGTTACTGGAAATCTGCAGAGTAAATGTCTCTGGAATTCTATCAGCCATGAGATGGGAAAGGTGCAGAGTCTTTCCAAAACGCCACCTCCCCTGACCTAACTAATAGGAGCGCTAGAGAAAGTTGATGATACTGGATTTCTGAGTGTGCTGTGAATTTTTTTAAAGCAACTTATTTGCTGTTGTTACTTCCCTCCTTTGTGTATCTGGTTTGAATATGTTTTTCACATGCTTTGGGCCCAGATGAGTTTTTAACTCTGTTCAATGATTAAAATGTATGGGGCACTACAAGTTGCCCAACAGTGTGCGGAGCTGGTAAAGCCATTTCTACCTCAGCCGGTCAAAGCAGACAATGGTTGCATGTGCTAAATTTTAGAATATTATTTCTTTTCAAGATGGAGTCTTGCTCTTGTTGCCCAGGATGGAGTGCAATGGTGAGATTTCGGCTCACTGCAACCTCCACTTTCTGGGTTCAAGCAATTCTCTTGCCTCAGCCTCCCAAGTAGCTGGCATTACAGGCGCCTACCACCATGCCCAGCTAATTTTTCTATTGTTAGTAGAAATGGGGTTTCCCCATGTTGGTCAGGCTGGTCTCGAACTCCTGACCTCAGGTGATCCACCTGCCTTGCCTCCCAAAGTGTTGGGATTACAGGCGTGAGCCACCGTGCCTGGCCTAGAATATTCTATCAAAAATGAATTTTTGATCTTCTGTTAAACAGCTTTCAAATATGCTATACACCAGACATTCCAAATTTTATTACTTTACAGTTATATAGGTTGTGCAATCATATTTTGCATTTAAGCTTTTTAATACAGCATAATTTCCACAGTATCTCTGTGGAATAAGCATATATATATATATATATATATATATATATATATATAATTTTGTTAAACAAAAACATTGGGAAAAAAGGGTAGGCATGATAGCTCATGCCTATAATCCCTGCAGTTTGGGAGGCCAAGGCTGGAGGATCACTTGAGGCCAGGAACTCAAGACCAGCCTGGGTAAGTGAGACCATATCTCTTTAAAAAAACACCAACAAGGCTGGGCATGGTGGCTTATGCCTGTAATCCCAGAACTTTGGGAGGCTGAGGCGGGAGGGTCACCTGGGGTCAGGAGTTCAAGACCAGCCTGGCTAACATGGTGAAACCCCGTCTCTACTAGTAGTACAAAAATTAGCCGGGCATGGTGGCACACACCTGTAATCCCAGCTACTCAGGAGGCTGAGGTAGGAGAATTGCTTGAACCCAAGGAGACAGAGGTTTCAGTGAGACCCTGTCTCAAAAAAAAAAAAAAAAAGAATTGAGTGCAGTTATCACAATCCATCCGGATAGAGAAAGTTATACAGCATTAGAGGATCTCAGAGTTCTTGAAGTAGTAACATTTGCTCTTTCAAACAGAGATTTTTTTATTGTTTTTACATCAAATGAAACTTGAGACAAATGTTATCAAGTATTCATGTTCAACAGCTGTATTTATAGCTCATTATAAGCCTGCTCATTAAAATTTTTATTTAAGGACTGAATTTATGTTTATCATTTGCACAGGGCATGGTTCTTCTCCTGTCATTTGTTTCTCTAAACTGAACTTGGAGCGAACCCATCCATTTTCCACCTCAAAGTGGAACAGGAAGGTAAGGCAGATCTGAGGGCTCCTCAATGTGAGGTTGGAAACTCTTCTCTCTAAAATACACTGAAAGCTGAAGGCTGTTTCCTCAGTGTGAGGAAAGTCAGGTAATCCACATTTTCATTATAATGGGGTAGAGCTTTTTGCTTATATTTGGAAAGAGTTGCTTTGGAAAGTGTCTGTAATTATCAACTTATAGCAGTATATTTCTGTTCCCTGTAAACTTTCTATGAAAGAAAATTAACATGAAGTTATATGAAAAAAACCTCAATTTGTGCCAAAAACTTCTATAGTAATTTTTTTTTTTTTTTGAGACAGAGTCTGTGTTGCCCAGGCCAGAGCACAATGACATGATCTCAGCTCACTTCAACCTCTGCCTCCCTAGTTCAAGTGATTCTCGTGCCTCAGCCACCTGAGTAGCTGGGATTACAGGCATGCACCACCATCCATTTTTAGTGGAGACAGGCTTTCACCATGTTGGCCAGGCTGGTCTCAAACTCCTGGCCTCAAGTGATCCACCCACCTCGGCCTCCCAAAGTGCTAGGATTACAGGTGTGAGCCACTGCGCCTGGCTATATTAATTCTTTGATTCAATAATAAAACAGTTAAAAGAATGTCTTCTGCTACTTACTGCGAATTTTTTAAAAAGGTAATTTAGCAACTGATCTAATTTAGCTGTCTCTCAAGAAAACAAAAACAATCCTAGACACCAAATTCACTGTTTCAAAAGTAATCCAAAGATGTTGAAAATGGTCTATCATGGGCCACTGAGACATAGTTAGATCATTGTGACCCTGAGCCAATTTCTCCATGGTTCACAAGGCAAGGTAAAGTATTATAGCTAAATGTAGTTTGGAAACATCTTGATGTTCTAAAACACATTAACTCACGCTATAAATTACTTTGTACTTTACAAACTTTATTAAATAATGGGCGTTACTAACTTTCATTATCTTATATACAGTATTTAAACTATGTTTTCCTAGATGCATTTTTTTTTTCCCCACAAAGAATAGAGCAGGTGAAAAGTAAACTTATATAAAAAAAAATTGAACCTGCAGTACAGGAAACTAGTAAGAACTTGACATACTTTAAAGTACATATAACTTTTCCCCGTTATATACATCCCCACCCCACCTCTAAAACAAACTATTTTAAACAAAAACAATTGATAACTTTCAGGAAAAAAATACAAACATGATTATATATATACACACAGCTCTCAAAACCTGTGTCCTGGCCAACAGAAATGATCTATAAATCTACATTTGTCCTAAAACCTAAAGCCATGTAGACATTTTATACAGTAAGATACCCACTTATGTGCAGTGAGGTGTATTCCTATGGGTGACATCAAAGTCATGCAACAAGACACTGGCGTGAAGAAGTAATTTCTGAGAGTCAGACAGAGCAGTAATATGAACTATATAGAATCGGATAATACTAACCAAAAAGCGAAAATGCGAAACAGCTTTCCTGGGACAAGAGTCAGGTAATTTTGCTCATAGGTACTGCAAATGCACTTACACACACCTCTAAGAACATACTTTCTTGGCCGGGTGCAGTGGCTCATGCCTGTAATCCCAGCAATTTGGGAGGCCGAGGCGGATGGATCATGAGGTCACGAGTTTGAGACCAGCCTGGCCAACATGATGAAACCCCGTCTCTACTAACAACACAAAAATTAGCCAGGTGTAGTGGTGGGCACCTGTAATCCCAGCTACTCAAGAGGCTGAGGCAGGAGAATCGCTGGAACCGGGGAGGTGGAGGTTGCAGTGAGCCAAGATTGTACTCCAGCTTGGGCAAAGAGTGAGACTTGGTCTCAAGAAACAAACAAAACAAACAAACAAACAAAAAAACTTTCTTGTGGTGCTTATTTTTGATGATTGTTTCATCTTGAAAACTCATATCATGTTCAAATAAAGACAATAAAGAAGGAATGTTTCCAGACCATGCTATTCAATGTGGACTTTCCTTTATAAGCTATAAGAAGAATACTTTGGAGAAGCAAGAAACTTGGGTTATTTTTTGTTATTTAAAAAGAAAATCAAATGCCTTAGGTACCTATTTGTAAGATAAAAACGCTCATATTTTATGTTTTACAGTTAAGAAAAAGAGGCATAGGACTTACAAAGAGAAAGAATTATGTCACTTACTCAATATTACTGCTTACCTTTAAATGAAGAGCCCAGGCCTCTTTCCCTACATATATTATTGTATCTTTTAAAATAGAAACTAAAAGCATGGTAGAGAGGCTGTAGAATGTACACCTGATTAAAATGAGAATACAAAGGCCACTGCTTGAGAAAGCATTCTTGCTGCATTAACTGCAATCGTCAATAAAATCATATATGTTTATAAAGTCACAATTTATCTGCCTTCATTTTTCTTTTTAGCTTCTTTGATTTTGCTTTTTATTCAAAATGTCTTATTTTTGTTTTTTTTGTTGCCTAAGGAGTTAGATTAGTACACAGTGTCACAATGAAATGTCACAAATGGTCAGAACATAAAAGGTGTTAGTCAGCACCTAGTAACCAAAGATTTCATTCTTTTATATACCTGAAAACAATGAAAAAAGGCTCCCATGTTATGTGTGGTTTAGGAAATAGATTCTTGCCCCATTCCTGCAGCCAATGACTCCTCAGGGCCAGGATCAAGGAGGTCATTTGACAGAATCCCAAACTCAGGAGGGTGCATATGCAAAGCTGCTCTGGAAAGGGTAAGTTTAAAGTGCTTTGTCTGATTTTAGCTCATACTTAACTTTGTATTGATTAGAAACAGGCACACAACATGGTCTGGTGGGATTTCAGTTTTGTTTTTTCTCTTTCAACTGTCTGTCATTTGAAGAGGTAATCAAATGGTTCCCAGAAGGTCATCCCATCTTTTTTTTTTTTTTTTTTTTGAGACAGAGTCTCGTTGTGTCGCCAGACTGGAATGTAATGGCATCATCTCAGCTCATTGCAACCTCCACCTCTTGGGTTCAAGGGATTCTCCTGCCTCAGCCTCCCAAGTAGCTGGGACTACAGGCAGGTGCCACCATGCTCAACTGTTGTTTTTTTTGTTTTGTATTTTTAGTAGAGACGGGGTTTCACCATGTTGGCCAGGATGGTCTTGATCTCTTGACCTCGTGATCCGCCCCCCTCACCCTCCCAAAGTGCTGGGATTACAGGCGTGAGCCACTGTGCCCAGATCATCTTTTCTAATAGTTAAGTCAGTCTGCATCTTATTGACCTTGGTTTTCTCTAAGTCATTAAGGAAATCATTCATTTCACCCCAGAAATTATGTATAAACATGATGAGCAGCTCATTCTCTAGGCCTTGTCCAGGAATAGTGGTAAGGGGTTTTGCGTACAGAAAATGGGTCCTGCTACATTTTGATTTTCAACAGTCACACAATTTCTGCATCAAAATGAAATAAAAGAATACCACCACAAAAACTCTAAAATGGGCACCTCAGACTACACACCAATTACAGATCTCTGGCTTACGTTATCCTAAGGTCTTGCCACAAATATAACCAAAATGTGAGATATAAGCATAATTCTTTCAACAGCTTTCGTTGCCTTTTAAAACGTGACAAAGTCTCCTTGCTGCCTTTAAGTCACAGGATAAAACTACCTGGGCCTTCTGGATAATGGGAAAGGATTATTGCATTCTTAAGGTGTGGGCACTATTGTCAGGTTATGGCCATCGTGTTAAAAGTCTAAAAAATTTCAAGTAAGATTGACTTACATGAAACATGAAGACACTCAGCATGAGAAAATATACTGTTGATGCCAACATGTGCTACAGTACAATCCTGGCTGCATCGTCAGCCATTTCAAAAAGTTGTGCTGTAAAAGAAACTATATTTTACACCTCTGGTTCTTACAAAATTGTTTTAATCTCGTACACATAAAACACCTCATCAGTATCTATAATGTTTTATGAGCAAAATAAGAAGTTGATTCAGGCAGTTATTATGAAGAACCTTAAGCAAAGCTGCTTGAACTGAGACACTGAAATTTTTCCCTTAGAGACTGGACAATATTTTGTTGATTGGGAGATGGCCCCCTCCAAAGATAGTCATTCAGTTTGTCAGAATCATTATATGGTGTCAGATATGGTGAAAGCTCAGGTTTGCTGTTAACTGGCTTTTTTGGAGTGCGCGGACTATTCAAGGAATGCGATGTGTTGCGGCTGCAGACGTTATCAGAAAAGTCAGCATCCACAAACTTTGAGTCAGATTTCCTTCTACGATTGTGAGATGGCTCCAACTCTGACTCATCTTCTTCTGACTTGATTTCCACATAGTCATCTTCATCTCCATCACTCTCTTTGAAATTGGAAAAATAGTTCTGTGTTGCAATTTGGGCATTTAAGGGTAAATTTCTATTGACCACCACAACTTTCTGTGAGTCTTGGAGTGTGAGATCTGAGTTTTTTTCAGTATCCTGTGGATGCGAGTCAGCAATATCTGGCAGTAAGTCCTGGTGACTCTCACACCTTGAACTTCTGTGTAAAGACAGCAGCTGCTGCTTTCCCATGTCACTAGGGTAGTTGATGGAGTCCATTGATTTGTTTATCAAGACGGAGGAAGATGACTGGGACCTGTGATAAGGCTGAGATTTCGCACTGATCCCTTTCCGACCTAAGGAGTTGTAAAGATGGTCCTGACACCAGTTCTCTTTGTTGGGCTGACTTACTACTACGCTGCATCTCTGCACAGAGCCCAGCAGAGGGTCGGAGGTTTGAAGAGAAGGTACAGAGCAAGCTGCGGACAATTGCCTGGGAGTACTTTTTGTATTGATCTCAAACGTGGGATATCTTGACCTCAAGTCTTGCTCTGGTGGGAGACAGAAATCTGCTAACTCTCCATTACTATAGGTTGAATGCAGAAGCCAATCTTCACTACCATGGTGGACCTGGGAAGGTGACGCAGACCTCAGGAGGGAGGATTCTTGAGGGCTGGCCCAGGCATCCTTCTGAATTTTCAAGGGAGACTCTCTGAATACAATCTGGTCATACAACTGGGAATACTCAGCAATCCTGGCACCTGGAAGGCAAATATTGAAACAGTAAATACACACAGGATGATTCCTATATGTGAAGATTAAAAATAAGACAATAATATTCTAACCAACATATTTTAAAATTTTGACAGTAGACAAGACTAAGTGATGTTTAAGGATGAGTAATCATTGAACTCTAAGCAACACACACACACACACAAATCCATGGTTTAATATAAATAAAAATGCCACCTAAAAGTTCATTTAATTTCATCTAATTCTCCATTATTCTGTCTCAACAGTAGGTCTGCAAGCGTCCACTATATAGAATGAAAGTTTCTAGTGTTCTTTATAAGCATAAAACAGTGTCAGTGCTGAAAACATGCATCATAAAAATAAGAAAGTCAGCACTTCAGCCTGGTCAATGAAAAATCATTCAAGCAGTGTTTAAAAGCAGCATCGCAGGGCTGGGTGTGGTGGCTCACGCCTATAATTCTAGCACTTTGGGAGGCCAAACCAGGTGGATCACTTGAGGTCAGGAGTTCAAGACCAGCCTGGCCAACATGGTGACACCCCATCTCTACTAAAAATACAAAAATTTAGCCAGGCATGGTGGTGTGCACCTGTAGTCCCAGCTACTTGGAAGGCTGAGGCAAGAGAATCGCTTGAACCTGGGCGGCAGAGGTTGCAGTGAGCCGGTATCATGCCACTGCACTCC